TGATACCAAAATTAGACAAAGATGCCAGTAAGAAGAAAATTATAGACCAATATCCCTCATGAACACGGATGGAAAACTTCCCAACAAAATCTTAGTCCATAGAATACAATATCATATCAAATAAATACTGCATCATGATGAAGTGAAATTCATAAAGGTGTGCAAGGATGGTTCAACATTAGAAAAATAATATATTCCACCACATAAATAAAACAAAGGAAAAGAGCCACATGATCATATAAATTGATGCCCAAATGGAATTTGACAAAATTCAACACCCACTCCCAATAAAACCACTCAACAAAATAGGAATAAAAGGGAAATTCCTCAATATAATTAAGGCTTATACACAAAACTACCACTACTTGTCTGTCAATTTGTTGCACAGTAGTGGCTTACATTGTTGCTGTGAGGCTGGAGCCCATGCCACCAGTAAGTATTTCAAATACCAGCAGGGTCACCCATGGTGGACAAGTTTCAGCACAGCTTCCAGATTAAACCAGACTCAGAAGAAGAAAGGGGCCATCCTTTTCAAAGAATTGGCCAGTGAAAACCTTATGAATAGCAGTGAAGCACTATGACTCGAAAACTTTATGAAAAGCCCTGAAACATTGGCTGATATAGTGCTGGAAGATGAGCCCCTCAGGTCAATAGGCAGTCAGAATGTGACTGGGGAAGAGGTGCCTCCTCATAGTAGAATGGACTTAATCATGTGAATGGACTACAGCTTTTGGGAACTCCATCTGCTGATGTGGCACGACTCAAAATGGGGAAAAACAGCTGCAAACATCCATTAATGATCAGAATGTGGAATGTACAAAGTATGAATGTAGGAAGAAAATTGGAGTTGTCAAAATGAAATGGAACACATAAAAATCGATATCCTAGGCATTGATGAGTTGAAATGGACTAGTTTTGACAATTTTGAATCAGACAGCCATATGATCTGCATGCCAGGAATGACAAATTGAAGAAGAATGGTGTGGCATTCATCATCACAAAGAATGTTTCAAGATCTATTCTGAAGTATAATGCTGTCAGTTAGGATAATATCCATGTACTTATAAGGAAGACCAGTTAATCTGTTGTTGTTGTTGTTGTTAAGTGCCGT